AAGTCATGCTCCCCATGCTCTATTCTGCCTTGGTTAGACCACACCTGGAATATTGTGTCCAATTCTGGGCACCACAATTGAAGGGAGATATTGACAAGCTGGAATGTGTCCAGAGGAGGGTGACTAAAATGATCAAGGGTCTGGAGAACAAGCCCTATGAGGAGTGACTTAAAGAGCTGGGCATGTTTAGCCTGAAGAAAAGAAGGCTGAGAGGAGACATGATAGCCATGTATAAATAGGTGAGATGAAGCCACAGGGAGGAGGGAGCAAGCTTGTTTTCTGCTGCCCTGGAGACTAGGACGCAGTGGAACAATGGCTTCAAACTATAAGAAAGGAGAGTCCATCTGAACATTAGGAAGAACTTCCTAACGATGAGAACTGTTCAGCAGTGGAACTCTCTGCCCCAGAGTGTGGTGGAGGGTCCTTCTTTGGAGACTTTTAAACAGAGGCTGGATGGCCATGCAATTTTCCTGCTTCTTGACAGAATGGGGTTGGACTGGATGTCCCATGAGGTCTCTTCCAACTCTATGATTCTATGATTCTATGAGATGGGCGCAAACCTATCATGAGGTTTTCTTGGCAAGCTTCGCCTCTGAGGCTGAGAGAATGTGACTTGTGTTTCCATGGCTGAGCCAGGATTCGAACACAGGTCTCTAGAGTTGTAGCCCAATGCTCAAAGTACTGTGCCATGCAAGCAGTACCTATATTCCTGGCACGAAAAGAGACTCTCCAAGCCTTCATTTCATAGAATCATAGAATCACCCAATCCAACCCCATTCTGCCAAGAAGCAGGAATATTGCATTCAAAGCACCCCTGACAGATGGCCATCCAGCCTCTGTTTAAAAGCCTCCAAAGAAGGAGCCTCCACCACACATCGGGGCAGAGAGTTCCACTGCTGAACGGCTCTCACAGTCAGGAAGTTCTTCCTAATGTTCAGATGGAATCTCCTTTCTTGTAGTTTGAAGTCATTGTTCCATGTCCTAGTCTCCAGGGAATTTAGTGCTGTATGATCTATCACAGCCTAAAAATGCCAGATACGTATGCTTAAGCTGAGTAAGCTCTCCAAGGTTGGCTCTGCACTGCTGAATTAATGCAGTTTAAAAGTACTGTCACTGCCATAGCTCAGTGCTACAGAATCCTGAGAATTGTACTTTGGTGTGACTAAAGTCCTTGGAAAACTAGAGCTCCCAGAATTCCATAGCATTGAGTTATGGTGGGGGCCAAACTGCATATATTCTACGGTGCAGATGCAACCCTTTTGGCTTCAGTCATAGTTTGCAGCTCAATTTTATAGCTTGGCTTTGGGTCAAAAAGTGAGTTTTCCTGCACTTTGGCACATCTTCCTTCTATGGAAGAGAGAAGGGCAGGTAGTTGGGAAGGACCTGAGAGTCAGCCTTGGTTTTTCTATCACTGATCTGTGGGAGATATAGCGCTCCTTAAGCCAGACAGATCCAGGTTAATCCCTCTCGGAACTGACTTTGCGAAGCCCTTGAAGGCGGCTCTGCTACTCCATCCTTGCCTGTTTAGTGAAGTTGAGTGAAAAGGGAAAGAGAACCAATGGAAACATTTGAATGGAGTTTTCCCAAAGAGTTTGGAGGAATTGGTTTGAATGGCCTTTACTTTGCTCCAATGCTCTCAAATGATGATCAAATTGATGATGAGGGAAGCTGGCTTCCTTATAAACAACCGCCAAAGGTTCTAGCCATGCATATTTCCAGCTTGGTCCTTGCATTTATGTCTCCATGGATTTCAACAAGGAGAAATGCATGGTGCACAGTTCTTGGATGGGTGGCACTTGGCTTGAAAATGTTCCATGGAAGTCTTCGCAGACCACAAGCTGAACATGAGTCGATAGTATGATGCGACAACTCAAAAGGCCAATGCCATTCTAGGTTTCATGAAGAGTAGAGTGTCTGGATCATAGTCTCACTCTCTGTTTTGCTTTGATGAAACCTCACCAGGAACATGGCTGTGTCCATCGAAACCAGTGTTTCTCAACCTGGGGATCGGGACCCCTAGGGGGGTCACGAGGGGGTTTCAGAGGGGTCGCCAAAGACCATCAAAAAACACATATTTCCGATGGTCTTAGGAACTCTTTTGGCAGAGAAGGCTGAAGATCTCTCTGTCTGTTCTTCTCCTTCTTTTTGGTCTTGGTAAACTACAACTCCCAGAATTGAAAAACAACTCCCCCCCCCCCACAACCCCACCAGTATTTAATGTTGGCCATGTAAGTAGTGTAACAAGTTTGGTGCAGATCCATTGTGGGCTGGGTTCAGAGTGCTCTTTGATTGTAGGTGAACTATACATCCCAACTGCAACTCCCAAATGTCAAGGTCTATTTTCCCTAATCTCCACCAGTTCTCACATTTGGGCATATTGAGTATCCATGCCAAGTTTGGTCCAGATTCATTATTGTTTGAGTCCACAGTGCTCTCTGGATGTAGGTGAACTACAACTCCAAAACCCAAGGTCAATGCCCATCAGACCCTTCCAGTATTTTCTGTTAGTTATGGGAGTTCTGTGTGCCAAGTTTGGTTCAATTCCATCATTGGTGGAGTTCAGAATGCTTTTGATTGTGGGCGAACTATAAATCCCAGCAACTACAACTCCCAAATGTCAAGGTCTAGTTTCTCCAAACTCCACCATTTGGTATTTGTGCCAAGTTTGGTCCAGATCTTTCATTGTTTGAATCCATAACACTGTCTGCATGTAGTTGAACTACAACTCCAAAACTCAAGGTTAATGCCCACCAAATCTTTCCGGTATTTTTCTGCTGGCCATGGGAGATCTGTGTGCCACGTTTGGTTCAATTCCATCATTGGTGGAGTTCAGAGTGCTCTATGATTATAGATTAACTATGAATCCCAGCAATTACAACTCAATACCACCCCCTCCAACCCCACCAGTATTCAAATGTGGATGTATCTGTTATTTGTGCTCTTTGATTGTAGGATAACTATAAATCCCAGCAACTACAACTCCCAAATGACAAAAATCAATCTCCCCCCAACACCATCAGGATTCAAATTTGTGCCAAATTTGGTCCAGTGAATGAAAATACCTCCTGCGTATCAGATATTTACATTATGTTTCATAACAGTAGCAAGATTACAGTTATGAAGTAGCAACGAAAATAATGTTATGGTTGGGGGGTCACCACCACATGAGGAACTGTATTAAGGGGTCGTGGCATTAGGAAGGTTGAAAACCACTGATCTAAACATTAGGAAGATGTTGCTGGTGAGAGCTGTGGAAAATGCTGCCTCCTAGGAACCTCCTTTTCTGGAGGTCTTTAAATAACTGGATGGCTATGTGTCGGGAGGACTTTGCTTGTGTCTGGCAGAAAGGGGTTGGACTGGATGGCCTTTGGGGTCTCTTCCGACTCTAGGATTCTAGGCAGATTTTAAGATTCTAGGCAGGTGTACCTTGGGAAGTCTGACTTGGCCACGGTGGTCCACGCTCTGGTTACATCCCATATAGATTACTGCAGTGTTTCTCAACCTGGGGGTCAGGACCCCTGGGGGGTCGTGAGGGGGTGTCAGAGGGGTCGCCAAAGATCATCAGAAAACAGTATTTTCCATTGGTCATGGAGGTTCTGTGTTGGAAGTTTGGCCCAATTCTATCGTTGGTCGTGTTCAGAATATTCTTTGATTGTAGATGAACTATAAATCCCAGCAACTACAACTCCCAAATGTCAAGGTCTATTTTCTCCAAACTCCACCAGTATTCACATTTGGGCATACTGAGCATTCATGCTGAGTTTGGTCCAGATCCATCATTGTTTGAGTCCACAGTGTTCTCTGGATGTAGGTGAACTACAACTCCCAAACTCAAGGTCAATGCCCACCAAACCCTTCCAGTATTTTCTGTTGGTCGTGGGAGTTCTGTCTGCCAAGACTGGTTCAATTCCATTGTTGGTGGAATTCAGAATGCTCTTTGATTGTAGGTGAACTATAAATCCCAGCAACTATAACTCCTAAATGACATAATCAATCTCCTTCCAACCCCACCAGTATTCAGATGTGGGCGTATCGGGTGTTTGTGCCAAATTTGGTCCAGTGAATGAAAATACATCCTGCAGATCAGATATTTACATTACGATTCATAACAGTAGAAAAATCACAGTTGTGAAATACCAACAAAAGTAATCTTATAGTTGGGGGTCAGCACAACATGAGGAACTGTATTAAGGGGTCGCAGCAATAAGAAGACTGAGAACCACTGGATTACTGCATTACCACGCTCTACGTGGGGTTGCCTTTGAAGATGGCCGGGAAGCTTCAAATGGTCCAGCGTGCGGCAGCCAGGTTGCTAACAGGAGTGGAGCTCAGGGAGCATACAACTCCTCTGTTGAATCAACTCCACTGGTTGCCAATTTGCTACCGGGCTCAATTCAAAGTGCTGGCTATAAAGCCCTAAACGGTTCCGGCCCAGTCTATCTATCTGAACGCATCTCTCCCTACGAACCCCCAGGAACTTAAGACCATCTAGGGAGGCCCTGCTCTCGATCCCGCCTGGTTTGCTGGCACGTCTGGCAGGGACGAGAGACAGGGCCTTCTCTGTGGTGGCCCCCCGGCTGTGGAACTCCCTCCCTAGGGATATTAGATCAGCCCCCTCCCTCCTGACTTTCCGAAAAAGAGTAAAAACTTGGCTTTTCGAGCAAGCATTCGGAACCCCGGAGTAAACAGAGCAACTAGAGTTGGAAATTGACCCAGGAACGGCCAAGACAATGGAACGGATGAAGATTTGAATAAGAGGACATAGTTTCTTTTGAAATTGTTTATTATGCACTGTCGTTTATGTTTAATTGCACTTGATGTTTTTGCTTTATATTGATATGTATTTGTTTCGGCATCGAATTGTGCCGACTGTGTATACCGCCCTGAGTTGCCTTCGGACTGAAATGGGTGGGAGAGAAATAATGTAAATAAATAAATAAATAGATGCGTAGGAAGAGAATAGAGGCCATGGGCTACATCCTGGCTGTATGGCAAACTAGGAAAATGCTGCAGAGAGGGAAAGGATGCTGCCGCCTGCCTTCGCTGGCGTTCCTGTGCTGGATTCTCTGCCGCCGAGCGGGAGGCAGGTTACTGGCAGTCAATGCACTGGAGTAACCTCGGCGCCGCATCTCGCTTTGAGTGGCAGGCCAGCCGGCGCAACCGCCATGGTGCAGCAGTGCAGGCTCGGCTGAGCTCTTTCCCACAGTCAGTCGAGCAGTGGCTGCAAAAACAGGCCTCCCCCAGGCTTCCCTTTTGCAATTGCAAAACCCATTCCTCTTTGCAAAGCTCAGGGGCCTCTGGGTTGAGCTTTGGAGGCATCAAGGCTCAACACTGAGCTGTTGCACTGGCCTGGTTTTACGTCTGTCTAGGTCTGTGCCGAGTAACTCAAGGCAGAACAACAACAACAACAATAATAGAATCATAGAGTTGAACGAGACCTCATGACAAACTGATCAGCTTCGATGTGGTATCTCTATTTACCATGGTCCCGGTAGCAGACACCATGGCACTCATCAACCAGAAGTTCCCAGAAGACATCACGGCTCTGTTTCACCATTGCCTCACCACCAGTTACTTTCAGTGGGACAATGAATTCTACGAACAGAAAGATGGAGTAGCTATGGGGAGCCCTCTCAGCCCGGTCATAGCTAACTTCTACATGGAACACTTTGAAAAACAAGCCCTGGAGACAGCAACCAAAAAGCCCACTATATGGTTCAGATATGTGGATGACACCTTCACCATTTGGAGCCATGGAGAAGAAGAACTCAACAGGTTCCTGGACCATCTTAACAGCATCCACCCAAAACATCCAATTCACAATGGAAAAAGAAAATGAAGAAAGACTGCCTTTTCTAGATGTCCTAGTCATCCGCAAACCAGATCAACAATTGGGTCACACCGTTTACAGAAAACCCACACACACAGATAGATATCTACATAAAAACTCCAACCATCACCCAAGTCAAAAAAGAAGCGCCATTAAAGCCTTGGCAGACCGTGCAAAAAGAATCTGCGAACCCCACCTCCTCCAAGATGAACTGAACCACCTCAACTGGGCTCTACAGGCCAATGGATACTCCACCTCAGACATCAGAAGAGCTGCAAGACCAAGAACAAGCCATGAGAGTAAAGATGAAGATCCACCCAGAGGAAAAGTGTTCTTGCCATACATCAAGGGAACCACTGACCGCATAGGGAAGCTGATGAGGAAACACAACATACAAACTATCTACAGACCCACCAAGAAAATCCAACAAATGCTACGTTCAGCAAAGGACAAGAGGCATCCTCTCACCTCTGCAGGAGTCTACCGTATACCATGCAGCTGTGGACAAGTCTACATAGGGACCACCAAACGCAGCGCCCAGACACAAATCCAGGAACATGAAAGGCACTGCAGACTACTTCAACCAGAGAAGTCCAGCCATAGCAGAGCACCTGATGAACCAACCTGGACACAGCATTTTATTTGAGAACACAGAAGTGCTGGACCACTCTCACAACCACCATGTCAGACTACACAGAGAAGCCATTGAAATCCACAAACATGTGGACAATTTCAACAGAAAGGAAGAAACCATGAAAATGAACAAAATCTGGCTACCAGTATTAAAAAATTCTAAAATTGCAACAGCAAAATAAACAGCAGAGAGAAAAACAGGCAGGGACATCTAATCACCTTTCAAGAAGAGTTTGCTCCAGGCACAGTCAGCCCATTGTATGCTAATCAAGGTGGTCAGTTGAAAGATTCACACCTAGCCCAACTTACAAAAGCCCTTTGTCTCACCCTGGTCATTCCACAGATATATAAACCCCTTTTTTCCCAGTTCCAGCAGACCTCACCTCTGAGGATGCTTGCCATAGATGCAGGCGAAACGTCAGGAGAAATGCCTCTAGAACATGGCCATATAGCCCGAAAAAACCCACAAGAACTGAGTGATTCCAGCCATGAAAGCCTTCAACAATACATAATGTAAATATCTGACATGCAGTATGTATTTTCATTCACTGGACCAAATTTGGCACAAATACCTGATATACCCAAATTTGAATACTGAAGAAGTTTGGGGGGATTGATTTTGTTATTTGGGAGTTGTAGTTGCTGGGATTTATAGTTCACCTACAATCAAAGAACATTCTGAACTCCTCCAACAATAGAATTGAAACAAACTTGGCACACAGAACTCCTATGGCCAACAGAAAATACTGGAAGGGTCTGGTGGGAACTGACCTTGATTTTTGGAGTTGTAGTTCACCTACATCCAGAGAGTACTGTGGATTCAAACAGTGATGGATCTTGACCAAACTTGGCATGGATACTCAATATGCCCAAATGTCAACACTGATGGAGTTTGTGTTTTCTGATGGTCTTTGGTGACCCCTCTGACACCCCCTCGCGACCCAGGGGTCCCGACCCCCAGGTTGAGAAACACTGTCCTAGGCCCTTTGGAAATGCTTGATATTCAGAGACGAATCCCAGACACTTTTGTTTTGTGTCTGGAGCAACTTGAGAAACTTGCAAGTTGTGTCTGGTGTGAGAGAGTTGACCGCCTGCAAAGATGTTGCGCAGGGGACACCCGGATGTTTTACCATCCTGTGGGAGGCTTCTCTCGTGTCCCCACATGAGAAGCTGGAGTTGACAGATGGGAGCTCACCCCACTCCCCAGATTCGAACCGCCGACCTTTCGGTCAGCAGTCCTGCTGGCACAAGGGTTTAACCCATTGCGCCACTGTGGGCTCCTCCCGACTCTCTACCTAATGCGCATGTGTGCTGTGTTATTATGTACATGTACATGAAGATCAGGTGTTTTGGACTTCAAGTCCCACAATTCCTAACATCTGGTAGGCTGTTAGGAATTGTGTGAGTTGAAGTCCAAAACACCTGGAGGGCCCAAGTTGGCCCATTCCTGGTGTAGACGTAACACTTTTAACCCCAACGCCTATTGGATTGTGAAGCCTTTAGGAAACGAGGATTAGCAGGACAGAGAGGTTTTCCGAAGGGAGATGAGATTAGGTGGATTACGAAGGCACTATCCCTTTAAATGATTGGATTGTTTGAGGGAAATGGGTTGCAGCAGCAGCAGCAGCCTGGCATAGCTTTCCCCTTCCCCATTAAAGGGAACCATTTATAGACATGGCTTTCCACTGAGTGCAATCCTTGGGCAATGCATTCCCCGTCCTTACAGAAGAAATACAACAGGCTCATGGGATGTCTTGCATTTTCATATTCCAGGAGCATCTCGCAGTGCAACTATGCTAGAGCACCGGCATGGGCAAACGTGGGTCTTCCCTTCAAGTGTTTTGGACTGCAACTCCCACCATTCCTAACAGCCTCGGGCCCCTTTCTTTCCCCGTCAGCTACTTAAGCGGGCATTGTACCGTTGGGCCCCGGTACAATTACAATAGTAAAACCCCAATTAAACACAAATCACAATTAAAACAATACATCAACAAGCAATAAAACAGTCTCGTCAGTTGAATCGCCGTTCCAGTCAACATCCCTCTAAAATGCTACATACATCTACTGTCCGAAGGCCTGGTCCCAGAACCGTGATTTTAATTTTTTTCCCTAAAAGCCAGGAGAGAGGGTACAGATTTTACCTCATTTGAGAGTGCGTTCCATAGGTGGGGGGCCACAGCCGAGAAGGCCCTGTCTCTCGTCCCCGCCAGACGCATTTGTGCTGTTGACGACAGCGAGAGCAAGGCCTCCATGGATGATTTTAGATTACGAGGTGGGACGTTGGGGTGGATGCGTTCGGACAAATAAGCTGGGCCAGAACCGTATATTTAACTAATTTACGATGCCATAAAATTCTCCAGCAGTGTGCAAAAGAATGAGGAAGTACTCCATTGGTGTCACAAGTAGATGGCGAAGCGACAGCTCCCCTGGTGGCCGGAATTCAAAGCATACCCTCATGAAGCTGGAAAGTTAAATATTATTATTATTATTATTATTATTATTATTATTATTTCGGATTCTTTTACCCCATCCTTCTCACCCCGAAGGGGACTCAGGGCAGCTTACAAAAACAAAGGCACAATTTGATGCCCGCATCACAGAACAATCAGAACACAAAATTACATCAAATTCACAGTTAACAACAATTCATGCATTATACCAATAAAATCAATAAAAACCAATACAAACCCAATTCCTCCTCCTACATGGTCAGCGTTCGCTATCTCATAGTTCTAGTTTTCAATTCCACTTCGTCAGTCCTGTTGGTCTTACTCGTCTGATTGTCTTATTTAATTGTCAGATTGCCCAAAGGCCTGGTCCCATAACCACGTCTTCACCCTCCTCCTGAAGGAGAGGAGGGATGATGATGCCCTGATTTCCCCCGGGAGTGAGTTCCACAGGTGAGGGGCCACCACTGAGAAAGCCCTGCTCCTCGTCCCCACCAGCCTCACTTGTGACAGTGGTGGGTTGAGAGCAGGGTCTCCCCAGATGATCTCAAACTCCGGGGTGGGACGTAGAGGGAGATACGTTCGGACAGATACACTGGACCGGAACCGTACAAATAGCCTCTTTGTGTCTGTTTGTATATGTTGTGTGTCTATGGCATTGAATGTCTGCCATGTATATGTGCATTGAGTCCCCTGTGGGATGAGAAGGGTGGAATATAAAAACTGTAAACAAACAAACAAATAAAACCACCGACCGCATAGGAAAGCTGATGAGGAAACACAACCTACAAAATCTGGCAACCAGGACTAAAAAACTCTAAAATGATAACAGTAAATAAAGAACAAAACTCAAACACAGGGGAACTTTGGACAAGAAACAATCAGGAACACCTAATCACCTCTCAAGAAAGGAATTTCCCAGGCAGTAACAAGCCACACCTAAAAACTGTCAGGCCATCAAATGTTAATCAAGATGGCCAACTGCAACATTCATACTCACCTCCAACATACAAGAGTTCTTTCTTCCACCCTGGACATTATTCCACAGAGACATAAACCCAATTTTCCTAGGTGTTGTAGGTTTTTTCAGGCTATATGGCCATGGTGTAGAGGCATTCTCTCCTGACGTTTCGCCTGCATCTATGGCAAGCATCCTCAGAGGTAGTGAGTAACCTTACTACCTCTGAGGATGCTTGCCATACATGCAGGAGAAACGTCAGGAGAGAATGCCTCTACACCATGGCCATATAGCCCGAAAAAACCTAAAACACC